GCGTTATGCAAATCTTCCCACATCGTGACATAGACATGTGGGGGCGTGTTAGAACGAGTCGTTTTAGGAGGGCGTGGCTGACTCTTAACTTTTATAAAGAATATCTCTTTGGTTTTGAGACTTTAGTCTTTGTAACTTTACAGATCTTCTTTATGCACCAAGAGCTTGTATCACTTCAAAGAGAAAGGAAAAATTGAAATCGCATCATATGACCCCTTTAAATTGGACAAAACTGACAGTAAAGACACTGATAACATTCCAAAACATTTCTATATCAAATGATGTTCTTTTGAATTTTCTATTCAACAACTACTCCTAAAGATATTTTAATATTAATATTTGTTTCTTAATATTATTATTATTTAGTAATAATAATATTTTCTGCAAAAATATTAATAAGAAATGTTTTCGAGTGCCAAATCAGCATATTAAAATGTTTTTTGATTGTTTGTTTTTACAAGCACGTTTTAATCAAAACATACCAAAAATGTGTTCAGTTTAAACTGATAAAACAACATTAATATATAAATGGCATTTAGACACTTTGTGTCCAGAAACGTAAAAAAAAAAAAGTTTTAAATATTTGGGCATTACAGTTACATGAAATAAAGAAATATGGGAAAAAGAAAACATCCTTAAAAATATCAATAAATGTAAAACAATATTGAAATAACCAACTAGAGGAAAGTCAGTGGATGATTTGGGAACAGACCAGTGCAGATAGCTTAAATCTACAGCATCAGCATCAACAAATGTGGCATTTAATATTGATCCTCAATGCAAAACTTTGGTTATCACTTCATACTTGAAAAGCATCAAATCTTTCCTCGCTCCTTTGGAAAGGAAAACACTCCAAAAATTGGCGACAACTTTGATGAGTTTGCAGTGTCTTCCTCTTTAATTAAAAGGAAATAATCCCAAATATCAATGATCCTTTTGTATTTTATCTAATACAACAATAAAATGTAGGAGTGTATGACAGGAAAATGTCTGCCAGCTTTAAAATGTGCCCATGTGACCCCTTGGCCTCTGCCTTGACTGGCAACATTATCAAATGGGAGTCAACACAGAACAATGCCTCTAGTGCTTCTGGGTAAGGCACTTGATGTTGATGACACGAGACAATGCAGACAACCAATAACATTTAATCTGTAATCTTGGACTCAGATTTGACCTCAATATGGCATCAGACACAAAATGGCAAAGACTTGGGCGAGAGGAGGAGGGCTTGGGGCACATTTAAGAAGGATGCACGTAACGGTTCATGACGCTAAACAGCTTTCTGGCTTATTTCTCCTCTCAGTTTTTATATTCAGCCCACAGAAGGAAGATTAAATAGTGTTGGGACTCGTTCAATCAACCAAAAATCATTCAGGCAAGCATCTCCTACAGGACAGGGGAACTGACTCAAGTTGACTTTCAGATGCAAGTACCATGAACTTCCAGAAATTCTGTTATATGACCAACATACATATTTACATACAGTGTATTGCTGTGTGTGTAGAGGTGGAGAGTGTGTGTATACTATGAGCCTGCTCATGTTTTTAACATTAAAGCACACACACACACACGCACTCTGAAAGGGTTTGTGTTCATAAATAGTTCACAGTAGCGGTGTAGCCGCTGGTTTGTGTCACTCGCACACACTCGCAAACTTCACATTTCTGTTGCTCAAACTCGAGGTGGTAGCATAGATACATGTATGAAATCAGTTTTAAAAAATATTGGAAAAGTATGCTGCATAATAAACCTCAAGTACTTCAACTCAAGTTGATTGGTAAATAAAGGCCTGTTGACACATGGACATGAACAAATGTCATTTATCAAAGCTTTTGTGATCACATAAATTGCCATGGAAAGCGTGCTCAGACTAAGAGACACATAAAGGGGAATCTCACTGTCAAGAACCATGTCTGGGACAAATTTCAACGCAAATATCAAATAAAGTCTATAAAATCCAAAATAAGAAATGACATTTTGCTTCAATGTATAAAATGACTCCTATTTTTTTTTAATCCATTTTCAATTCAAATAATGTAACTTCTTTTTACTATATTGCAAAATGATATATAATCAATTTATTATTTAGGAAAATTTTTAATTTTATGCCAGTTTAAAAACTAATATTATTGTATTACAGTATTTTTATTGCACTTCATTGATGAGAATCTAAAGGGAATCATCACTGAGAGTAATGGGAATTGCTCACAGGAAAGAAATCAAACTAAAAAAAAAAAAAAAAACTAGTAAAACATTTTTAAAATGTTAATGGTTATAAAAAATATTGTTTCAGTTTCATACATCCGAAATATGATTTCTTCGTTTTTCTCTTTTGTGAGCAGGACACGCTTTTGTGAGATTCACCCATACAGATACACACACTCACACTTGAACAGTTATTGAAACCAAGCCACATCTTTGACTTGTAAGTGTTGTTTGATCTTCTTCAGTTCTACTTCTGTATAGATTTGATTCAGAAGCCAATCTACCTTCCATTGATTTCATTGCGGAAAACCGACAGCAAGTACAAACAGGACAACGAGTTAGAACAGTAGAGCCATAGCATGGTGGGAATCCTCAGCTCAGGTGGGCCTAAACAAGCCACTGCCTCTGGAACAAAGGTAACAAGTCTTGAAAAATAACAGTCGTCGTTCTATACCTGGGTAAATGACTGATTTGTATCGCATTTGGAAACACGGAGCAGAGAGGTGCTAGAGAAACTACAATGGAGGAGCTCCCTTTGATATAAAATCTTTACAAGTACATGTATGTGCTATTAGAGACTGTAACAGTAATAGTGACCCAAACACTTCCCAAAAACCCTACTGCTATTTTGACAGCAATATGGACAGTCACATTCACGAGAACAACAACTGCATGTATGAACGTTTCAGTGGAAGGAGAACAGCAGCTTGAAGTCGCCTCTGATTTTCTTTTTCCTTCGAAATGATTGTCTTTCCTCACCCTCCTCATCAAGTATTAGAAAGATGGAAGAATCCCAAACGAATGTGCTCTTTCCTAATGAGCCTCCACACACACTGAGCTGTGTGTGAACACTGAAGTGCTGCCAGTCGCTCTGTTTCGTGATCTGAGCAGTACTGTACTGGTATGAGGTATTGGTTTGAAACCTGCGAGTGAATCATCAGTGCTCTGCGAATGATAAAAGTGTCCATTGGCACACAAACAACTTTCCTAATCATTGCAAAGAGTCCATTTCCTTTTACCGTCCAGCCAGGAAGCAAAAACACAGCAGGGTGTATGATTTGAAAACCCTTTTCAAATGTGTGACCATGTCTGAAGGAATCTGTGACTCATACTGGGCCACAAATAAGTGATTTATGGCGCGATAAATGGGTGGGCTGATGGAAACATTACACAATGGTCTATTTCGACGCTTTCAAGTAACAGCCTCTGGGATGGCGAGTGCTTATTTTGCTTCAGAACAGCAGAGAGGAAGAGCAGTGAAAACCTCACAAACTGTTCGTCAGTCAGTGCAATACACATCCATTTGGGTTCCATGCAACGAAAGTCTGTCCAGAATTTTACCTATTGAATATTGTTTATATTCATAACAGAAAGCAATTATTTTGTAGAAGACACTCTTCCACTCATGTTCACTCTTCCGTGAATGGCCAACGTTCCCCAAGTGGCTGAAATGTTAAAAAAAACCTATAAATATCTCAGAGTAACATTGCTGCAAGTGAAGCTGAAACGGTACTGTTGCGCTAAAATCTCCCGCTGTCAGCTCTTGGACTCTTCAGGTCCTGCTTCACCTTGGTTGAAGACCTCCATGTTTGTGGAGGTCGAGGAGGAGGAAGAGGGCCAGGGTCTGGCCCATTCTGGGCTGAGCGAGCGCTCGGGTTCTGGGGACAACGAGAGCATGAGAAGGGTCCCGGCGTCGGAGGAGCATGCTGAGCACAAGTCCTCGGATGAGAAGGTTAGGCTGCCCAGTTTGGCGAGCGAGTTGGAGCGTTTCAGTCGAGAAGGTACAGTAAGTCCTGCGAGCCGCATTCGGGCTTCGATTTCTTGCGTACGTTGGCGCACAAGGCCCGGTTTGCCACGGACGCTGCGGAGGCTGTCGCTACTGGAGCTGCGAGTGAGCGTGGAACCGTGCGGGGACGAGACCGGCGTCAAGCCGCCCGAACCGAGGACCGCCAGCAAAGCCTCATTCGTCAGCGGCACCGCCGCTTCGGTTGCGAAATCTGCCCGTGCTCCAAAGGGCCTGTGGACAGGGTCGGTTGAATCACTGGAATTGTTCATTGCATCCTCAGGTTTGCTTGAACCGGCTCCCTGTTGCTCATTTGCACGTGCACGCTGCTCCTGAAAGAGGCCGGAAAGTTTTTCCAAGCGCTCTTTTCGCCGGCGAACGAGGCCAGAGCGTTGCAGCTGTACCAGAGTCTCTTGCTGTTGCACAGAACAAGACGCCTCTGCCTTCTCCAAACCCTTTATCTCTCTTTCGTTCCTGAGTAGAGCTGAGGAACCCTGTGCATCAATCTCTTTCTGCCTGGAATCTCCTTCCCCTTTGGCTTCAAGCAACATTGTCCGGTTCTCAGTTTCTTGGTCAAGAGATGTGCTTTCTGGCTTATCTTTATGCCCTAAGGGCATTGCATTGGCATCAAGGCACGGATCTGAGGCAAGTTTGCCACACTTGGCTATCACGGACAAGTTGGCACAGGGTGGCGTCTGAATTGAGATACTGGGCACACTGTTGAGGGGTAAAGGGGCAAGGCCTCGTCTGTTAGCCTCCAACAAAGCACTCTGGGTGGGCTTGGAAGCGAACGATGAACCAGAACGATGCTGCTTCAGATGGGCACTTTCCTGGTCAAGAAAAGACAAGGAGAAACTATGTAACACAAATTACATGTAACAGAGCAGTGATACAATCATGTGAGATACTCACAGTAAGATTTTGTTGCATTTTGAGGTGGTTGTTGTTGTTGGAGTTCTCGTTGCACAGATGGTTCAGGCTTGCGAGATCAATCCCCTTTTCATGTGACAATTCTTCACTATCATTCCCATCTACTCTCTTCGCTCCCTCTGCTAACGCCTCCATTTCTGCTTGCTCTTTCTGAGCCTCCTCTTCATCCTCCTCCTCCACCGTGCTGAACTCCAGCCGCAGACGTAGTTCCTCTAGTGGCTCTGCCCCCCGAGAACAGGTCTGAGCGGCTGTGCCCTCCCCTGGGACACCGAAGTGTGGTAAAGGAAGACCCTCGCGCCCCTCGAAGGTTTCATCGTCGAGGAGCGCATCTTGCTCCACATCTGCAACCTCGATGTAGACGCGATCTACGTCCACCAGAGGCGGTGCATGGATTGGTGTGGAAGGGTCGCTGTCGAGGGCTGAGTCTGGCAAGCGACGGAAGTAATAGTGGTAGTTTTGCGGGTGGCTGGGGTCCAGATCTAGGCTAATTGGAGAGGAGTGGGCGGTAGGCTCGCAGCATACGGTGACTCGGGGGTTCGTGGGCTCTGGGGTGACATGATCCACAGTCTCTGAGTTCACACAACAAGGGGCAGCAGCTTGCTGGCAATCAGGATGATCGCAATCTGAATCAGGGTGCCACAGTCGGTTATGACGCTGTTTACTGAAGGGAAAAGTATAGAAAGGGTTAAAAAAGGATTAAAGGGATAGTTCACCCAAAAATTCTAATCCATCATTGGACCCTATTGACATTCATTGTATTAAAAAAAAAACTGTACGAGTAAATGATGACAATTTTCGTTTTGTGGGAAAACTTTTACTACAAATACACACACCAAACAATAATAAAAGAAACTTCTCTTGTACCTGGCATCCAGTATGCCCTCATACTCTGCCAGCTGTCTCATGAAGCTGGCATTGGGACGGGTGATACTGCGTTTCTGTTTGACAAAGTTATACGCTTTCTCCAGAGACCAGCCGTACTCTTTCATGGCATATGCTATCACTGTAGAGGCCGAGCGGCTTACGCCCATCTTACAGTGAACCAAGCATTTGGACTGATTCTTTCTGCAGAGTACAGAACATGAGAGTGTGAAAAGTCACATCGAAAGAGCCAAGTATGTTGCTTATTTGTAAAGAGAAAAATCTAAAATAGAGCCTTACTTTGCTTTGACAATGAAGTTGTAAGTATTGTTCCAGTGGGCCAGTAAGTCTGTGGTCTCGTCGTCATACACTCGGACGTTGTGGTAGCAAAATGTTCCTGGGAAAAAGTTATCTATTTCCCGCGTAACATTTAAGATGTAGCCCACCCTAAAACAGCAATGCATTTAGAGATCACAAATTACATCAGGACGACAATAGAAAAGTTTATTTTTATTCCTTAGATCAGGTACTAAAAATAAACCCTGCTTAAAAAGTAACAGCTTTGATGGATTTACTCTGAACTTTAGCTGAAACAGGAGAAAATGTTGCCCTTTAAGAGGCGATACGATACACACCTACCTTAAACTTTCACCTTTACCTAACATTAACCCATTTAAAGAAGCAGTGTCTTAAGAGTAACAACAGCACGGGAGGAAAGCAAGCACGGATGTCAGTACAGGTAAAACTCACCCAGTTTCCTGAAGCTCCTCTAGATTTGAAGCATTCCATTCAGAACCCTGAAAGACGAACGATGCAGGTCACAGGCTTTTTAGGGAAATTGGCATCCAGTGCCCCATATATGACAAAACCATCTGTCCTGCCACAGAACTAACAAGCTTGAGCTAGAGGAATGGCAATAAAAAGAGGGGGGGATGCAGTGGGAATTGGCAGGTCTAATAAAAGCAGCACTAACCAGATAGAGGTGGTCAAAGATGAGCGTGGCTTTGTCCATCTGGCCAAGAATAAGCAGCATCTCATTGTCAATGAACTCTTTGTACTCTTTCAGGTTGCAGTTCATCTGTTTCTCCAGCACATTACGAATCTAAGGAAAAATACACACGGTTATTGACTTAATCTCAACAAATGTTCTGTTATAAACCCTGCTATCAAGATCCATCTCAGACAATCTGATCACAAGAGGCCAGCCGAGACGCATTGCTGGATCTTGTGTCTCCTGTGACCACTTATGATCAGATTTTGAGGAGAAGGGCCTGTTTTGACACTTTTTATGCACACTCTGCATTTCCTGCTGACCTCTTTGGACGTGACATTTTCAAGGTCCTGGCACATCATGATGCTCCTGAGTTTGGCTTTGATTAGACATTCTGTTCTCTCCCTCTCTGTTGGCCTGAGGAACAGAAACATAGCACAGCCTAAATCAAGGGTTCAAGTTAGAGCATCATTTTAAGGTGAAGGGTGTAACTTTTTATTATTATTATTCAGAAAAGTCAAAATGACGTATACTGTATACAATGAACAACACAAACATGTCTTCTGTTTCATTTTAGCTTTTTCCAAATAAAAAAAGAAGGGAAAAAAACACAATATATTACTAATTTTTTACAAAGAAACAGAATTGAGTGTATAACTTGTTTGATGTTATGTTTGTTTGACATTTGCCTATCATTTGACATTTGACTATCACATTCAATTGTGATAACAAATATGTCTGGCTTTTGCTCTTGGTTGGTCACGAAATAAGAAAAAAAAAAAAACTCACTTCCAAAAAAACGCATTAAAATTTTAATTTAAATCTGCTGGTGGGTCAAGGACACTGGGCTTTCAGGGTTTGCGCTCACTTGTCAACGAAAACTGCAGGAGAGTCTGGTCGCAGTGTTTCCAGATCCTGCATGGCATTCCACTCATTGATGCAGCTCTGTTCAGAGCTGATACAGCTCTCGTAGTACCCCATCCATGTGAGTGCCATGCCACCAGGGAAATAGCTGTACCTTCGTGACACCTCACATGCCTTGTGTAAAATCTGCAATGCTGACCTAAAGGAAAAGCAGGTTAAAGGTGAGCAAGATGGAGAGACCTTTGCCAATAGTGTCAGAATGGAGTTTAAAGATCATGGTGTGATCTTAAAATCAATCAAACTGTATCTCAAACTGGTTTTAAATAATTCTACACTTCAAATCAATGATAAAGAGCTTAACCACAATTGCAAAAAGCAGTGAAAATAACATAATAAAATTACGGCCAAGATAGCAGTCATTCAGCAATTTGGTATATATCAAGGCAACAGGGTTTATATCAAACAACATCGGATGATATTATATTTACTGTACCATGGTACTGCAATGGTACTAGTTTTGAAAGAGTCACCAGATGGCAGTGTGGAGCTCTATTATATTTAAGGATGTCAAACTCCCAAAGCACCTGTGAACACCTGAAAAACGGTCCACTCACATCATCTTCAACCCCCCAAGGAGCTGTTTTATTTCTACCCCAGTAACAAACGAGAGCCCAAATGCACCCAGCCAAGTAGACAAAGGCTCTTGTTGGAAAAAACAATGTAACTTGTCACCTGATTAAGAGAGATGACTCAGACTGTCGGGTTTATCATAACATGAAAGATTGTGAAAATAGCAGTTCTGAGTGATTTTCTGAAGTTGTCTGAAAGCTTCAGCTTAATCGCTTAAATGATCACATCAAGCATTTAAAAAACGTTTTAACTAGAAAAAAAAAGTAAACATCATTCTATATTAGCATTTCCACTACAGACTGAAATGTCTAAAATGCAAGTTTAAATTGCTCCAGTTCATTATATATTGATGTTATTTTCTCACCACATGGCCTGGACTGACACCGGCTTGAAGATGTGCATGCGCCCGGCGGAAGTCACACTGAAGCCTCTGGAGAAATGAGAAGAGTGGTTAAATAAGGCCATCATACCATACATCATTACAATAGAGCTACAACCTTTCTAAATAACAATAAAAACAAGGAATACTTGTTAATATTGTCATTTGACAAATCCATTCAACACAGTTTATAATCCATACTATCTAGATCGGTGCATCAAAAGTTGAAGTGTAATCAGACCAGCAACAGCAATTCCTTTCCATTCCCAGAGGGGGCAGTACTCACCCATCACCATCTAAATGAATCTTGGTGTCACTCCACAGTGGCAGCACCATCCCAATAGAGCAGTTCTTACTGTAAGTGAAAGAAAAACTCCCTTATTTATTTGACTTAATGGAGTGTGGCTGCAGGAGGTAACAAACTTTTAAACTTGTCTGTTTGATGATATGCTAAACTGTATTTGATTTGGTCTCACCTGTCTTTGTTGCTGAAGTCCATGCCCAGCAAGATGTTTTCCTCAGTGTCTTGACGGCCATTTGTGTAGACTACCACCATGTACCGCACACGGTCCGACCACACGCTCTCTAACCGCACCGCCTGCGGATTACAGTTTGGTTTGTGTAAAAACAGGGCCCACTTAATACATACACATGCAAAAGCAAAATATATTAAAGGGGTCATATGATGCGATTTCAAGTTTTCCTTTCTCTTTGGAGTGTTACAAGCTGATTGTGCATAGATAACATCCCTGAAGTTGCGAAGACTAAAGTCTCAAAACCAAAGAGATATTCTTTATCAAAGTTAAGACTCTGCCACGCCCCCCTAAAACGGCTCATTCTTAATGTGTTTTTTGAACATTAAAGCATGTCAACATATTCTGTTACACCAAATACACAAAATAATAATCTTTAAAAAAGCATCATATGACCCCTTTAAACATTAACATACTGAACTCTAGAATAAATCACTGAAAATAAAAATTCGGCCTTTAGTCACTCACTCTCACATAATCATTCTCTCTATGTAAGACAACAGGGGCATTTTGAAGAATCTCCATAAGTTGGTCAAGCTCGTCAACCTTGTGTACTATATATTAACTCTTCAAAAGCAGTGTTTCTCGAAATTTTTGCCTCTAAGGTCCCTCACTGTCAAACAATATTATAATAAGGCTCTCCTATTTAAGCTGATATGCACCTCTGGTACTTCTATTGTAATAAATATAAATGTAAAAAATAATGTCAGTTTAATGTTGTTTAGTCTTCATTTTTAATATTACTACCCTAGTAAAAAAGTAATATATTTAAAATACATTTATTTTATACTAAGTATAGTTCAAATCTATTAACATAACTGACATATCGCTTGAGACTTACTGATATAAAAACTGTAATTAAACTTTATTTAGAGTATGACTTGTGCACAATGCACATTTCTTAATATTAAGCCTAAAATGTGTTTTAATTTCACTATTGATGAGGATTGTATGATCTTTGAATACTATCGGTCTTTAAATGCAAGGTTTTTAAAGTGTACCTGAAGTATAATTGCAATTGTTCCACTTTAGCAGAATCAAATATACTTCAGCATATCTTTAGTTGAACCTTAGCTCTACTTCCGCACAATTAAAATGCAGTAAGTACAAAATTAGTTGTTCCAATTTAGCAGACTTTAAGTATACCAGTTTAGTATACTAAAAGTACAACTGCAGGGTAATTGAAATGTGTAAATGTATTTGTAGTATACTTAGCATGAAATAAATGTATTTCAAATAAATTTATTTTTCACTAGGGTAAATTTAAATCATTTTAAGAATTCCCTTTTGGAAGTTTGGCGATGAAGAAAACAGTCTTCAGGCAACACTTTGACAATGAAACCCATTCAGCCTGACTGCATGTACCTTACTGCCAAAACGTTAGTCATTGATAGAGCGTGTTCTCTCACCAGTTTGATGCGATCTTCAGAGCGAAGAATGTTGATCATCACCTGCAGATGCTGAGGTAAGTCACCTGTTGAGTGAAACCAGTGTTACATTCCAAACAAAACCAAGACGACTACTTTGTTTACATTAACACCAGCGGCGTCTCAAAACCCCGTTGAAGAAAAACAACCATAAAAATAAACAAAATAACAAAAAATGATGTCATATTAGTGAACTAAGGTTTATAAGAGAAGCCGAGCCGAGACGAACGCCCACTGAGTGATACAAATCAGTCTTTAAATGTTGTATGCTTTTGATTAACGCCTTTATAGCGCTGCTGATTTTACGATATTCCAGAGTACAAAGTGTACAAACACACATGGATGTGGAAAGATATGAAAAATTAGTTGTTTCTTATGCTTACATATCTCAGATAATCCTATTTAATTAAATGATTATGTATGACATGACTAAGTGACTTTCGGCCGCATTGTGAACAGGTATGTGCAAATAAGTTCTACCCTTTGTGCCAAGAATTATAAATCTGACAGCATGCCATTCGACTTGCTCTAGCCCCTCCCCTTTTGATGCAAGTCAATAAGAGATACCAAACAAGATCGGTTTACATTTCATTCTCCTCCTTAACACAGACAGACTAACTCGTCTGACCTCTGACTGTGGTGCGGTCCTACCCAAACAAACCTCCTCCTACTCTTGTGAGCTTTGGCAGAATCCATGAAGCAATGATGTAACTGGTGTGGGACGTGTGGGAGGCCAATCAAAGTGCACAAGCAGGTTAAGAACAAAGCCAAAAACGTGAAAACCAAATAAACTCAAAGCTTAAGAGCCAAAGCCTGTCATGTACACTCAACACTACAGATGATGTTCTCTACGGTTTATTGGCTGCTTTGCATTTGAAGCACATATGAAAAGAACAGGGTATGTTCTCTCCTCCAACAAAACAAGCCCCTCGGTCTTCTGGGTCTCCATGACAAGAATTTGCATAACTTTACATGCTTGTCTGATAAAAAACTGATATGTAAAAGAATCGCTCAAGCAGCGCAGGATCCCAGAGCACAGCTTTGTTTTTGAGAATTATCATTATAGTTTCCAATTCACTGTAAGTGCACAGAAAAGTGACTTTTAGTGACGTGACATGTGGCCAAGTATGGTGACCCATACTCGAAATTAGTGCTCTGCATTTATCCCATCCAAAGTGCACACACACACCGTGAACACACACACACCGTGAACACACACCCGGAGCAGTGGGCAGCCATTTTTTGCTGCGATGCCCAGGGAGCAGTTGGGGGTTCGGTGCCTTGCTCAAGGGCACCTCAGTCGTGGTATTGAAGGTGTACATTCACTCCCCCCACCTACAATCCCTGCCGGTACGACACTCAAACCCGCAACCTTTGGGTTACGAGTCCGACTCTCTAACCTATTAGGCCACGACTTCCCCCCCAGAAAAAGAAAAGAGCGACCAGTACATCATTTACAACCTTAGTTTTACTGAAGAAAGACTTTCAAGTTTGCAACAACATGAGGATGAGTAAATTAGGACAGAATTTGCATTTCTGGATGAGCTATTAGTAACACAGTTTTCTCCATCACTTTTGATTTTGACAGCAATTCATCATTTAATTTCAGGGGTTGTCATGACGAGTCAATCCCTATGACTGACACTGAAATAGGATGTGTTTAAAATCAAAGTATTCTAAACCTTATTCTTTACCAAATCTACTCATAACAATGATTTAAATGAAAGGTCAAACAATTTGATCTCTGTTCAAAACCGCACTCACCTAAAGGAGTCATTTTAAACATTTAAACCCAATCGGCATTTTAGAATTATTTCTGAAGGATCATGTGACACTGAAGACTGGCGTAATGGATGCAGAAAATTTTGATTTGCCACCACAGGAATAAATTACATTTTAAAATATATCACAATAAAAAATTTTAGTTTAAATTGTAATACTATTTCACAATATTACCGTTTTTACTGTACCTTACCTTGGTGAGTGTAAAAGACTTCCTTCTCAAACAAAAAATTGTGCAGACCCCAAACATCTGAAAAGTAGTGTACTTTCAAAAGTACATTAAACACATCTCAAAAGATTAAGAAAAATATAATTCCTTATGATATGCCCCATTTAATCATCTTTGTCCTTTACTTGGTCCTCTAAAGAACTCAAACAGACAAGTAGTACAGGTGTGAATCCATCTGCAAATATGTATAGTGTATCTTGCTTTAGGAAGTTGGTCAATGTTTAATAAATCACCACTGATGCTATTTTTGACTGTCTGGCTGCCGGCGCCATGAGAATGCAAATAGAGGTGACTGATGACGTCAAAAAAAAAACAAAAACAAATTAACAGGACAAAAATAAGATGGAAATCTGTGTCATCAACATCTAAAAGCAAGGACATTTAAAGACGTCAGCATGGAGAGAAGATATTTTAGAGCTTAACTTACATTTAGAATGAGCACCGAGGATTTGCCTCATGAATAAATATTAAACTGTAAGAAGGTCTTGTTGAGAAAAAAGCTGAGCTATTCTCACTGTCAGAGAACATTTTGTACTTAGACTGTCACAGAGGAAGAGAAACCCTACATCGTCTAGTCTAACACAGACATCCGCAGTTTCTCAACGGAGACAGCTGACTTCTCCACCTTTTAGTGCTGATGCAATTGTACTTTTTTCAAATGATCTAATTCTCATAATCTAATTCCAGATCTTCTAGACTGTCTGCTTAAGTCACTTTTAGGAAGTCTTTGTCTTGTTCCTCTTGTGATTGATGGGTAGTTGAGTTATATTCGTACACTGTACGAAAAGCTCATGACTCAAGCGATGCTCCAACAGGCCCTGAGGTCAGACTGTATGTAAAAACAAAACCGCTCGTCAAACCTGCAACAACTCGCTTGTGATAAGCACTACTGATGCGTTCAAACCGGTCAAATCGAAACTTCGCATCCCAACAAGAAGTCAGGCGATGGTATAATATTAGCCAACTGACAAAACAGATGCTTGATAATATCAGGGGTTTATAACAGAAAAAAAGTCTAAACCTGCTGTGATATGACAAGCTGTCTGAAAGCGTGGCGAGATAGTCAATGCATAAAGCCTGAGGACTTGTTGTGTCTGCATGGTGTTCAGTTTCTCTCAAAACAGATTCAATTCGCCTGGAGCAAATGTACACCCTTCTGTTTAGCAGTAAACATGTACTTTAAAGGGATACTCCACCAAAAAATGAAAATGTTGTCATTAATCTCTTACCCCCATGTCGTTCCAAACCCCTAAAAGCTTCGTTCGTCTTCGGAACACAATTTAAGATATTTTGTAAATTATAAGTAAATTAAATTAAATTATACTGTCAAGGTCCAGAAAAGTATGAAAGACATCGTCAGAATAGTCCATCTGCCATCAGCATGTTTAATAAATTCAACGTGTCACACAGACAGTGCTGGATGGATGGCAGCTAGGACATCTGTTGTCATGCAATTGTGTTTGCATAAATTACTAAGAATGGCAAATAGAAAGAAAATTACAAAAAAAAGATTTAAAAAAGTTACAAATTAAAAAAATGTAATTGAAAAATTAAATGTAAAAATTAAAAAGAAAAAGAAAGAAAAAAAATAAAAATTGCACAAATTACACTTTCACTTTTTCAAATGCTTGTTTTTCTAGCAGTGGTTTTGTCTTGTTAAAATTGCAGTTGTATTGTAGTACAACTACTGTAGTTAAAAACTTTGTGAATTTTATCTTCCAAACTGAAATCATTATATTTTTATAATATTTGTTGAGCAAACATGTGAACACAATAAAACCACACTGCTATATCATATCTCTTGTCTATATATTTCAGGCATAATTTTACCAAAACACATTTGTATTGGGGCAGAACAATGGTTTTATATTTTTGTATGTTATCTTTTAATATTTCTGCTGTTTCATGAATTGGTTGTCATAACTGTTTTATAGTTTGCATTTTCCTATAATAAGATTTTTAACTGGCAGACTGTGACAACTTACCCCATAAATGACAAAACATGACTCACAATTGGTATGCAAGTTTAATATATTTATGTTAAGTATGCAACTACTGTTATAAAGAAAGTATGACAGCCTTTCTACCTATATGTTCCTTTCTTGTCTCAACAATCCTATAAATTAGAGGCAAATAAAATAATTCAAATAGGCAACATTTTATTTTGATGGTCCCGTTTAGACATTCTGTTGACTATAGGTAACTTTGCAACTACATGCCAACTACCTCTCATTCAAGTATTACGACTGTCTGATTAATATCTTCTAACACTTGTCAACCCTCCTCTAACCCTAACCTAACAGGGGACCATCAAAATAAAGTGTAACCAAAAAATATATTAACATCATAAAAAAGGGGAAAAAAGTGTTTTTATATTTTCCTTTCTGAACAAACAGGAAACGGTTAACTCTGTATATAAAACCACCAGGAAACACATAAAACAGAGAGACGTCCCATGTGCCTTGTCTATAAGAAGTGATGTTCTCACAGTGCCAATGTGCTGAGCTAAACTGCTAATCTGGCTAATCCACACACACACACACACACACACACACTCACACACACACTTGTCTGGGACACGCTTAGCCAGCACTGAGTCTGTCCATCAGCCGATTTCTGAATTTCTCTCTCAGGGCGGACACAGCAGGCCAGGCAGTAAAGTCACCCTTACAAAATTTACTATAGTAACCATGATTTCCACCAAAACACCATAATTCCAACAGTCATTAACATAAAACTGAAGTAACACATCTGAGATACAGTTAATGAAGGACTGAGGTCCACTCAAATAACAATGAGCATTCTGTACAAAAAATTATTCCTGTGCTGTGATAAAAATTCAAGTATACTTGTTGACTTTTTGGCTGTTCATTTAAATGCAGAAACTCACTAATGTGTGATATGAGGAGACAGATTTTATAGAGAGCCCTCAAGTGCAAGCATGGACTCACCTGCATGTTTGTGGTGAGGATGACCTCTCTGACCCTGTGGACAGCTGCCCTGCTGCAGAAACAGAGCGGCCCCCTTCACCATGAAGAAGCTCTCGCTTAGACTGTAAAAGGGAAAGAAAGGGTAGAGGAGACAGTGTGAGAAACATGGCCAACAATGAAACAAAACGTGCTTGTGTGACATTTCAGAGAATGTAATACAAAAAAACACACAGACACCAAAAAGTTGTAGATTCTGATTTTGGGGAAACACAATGCACATGTGGAAAAATCAGCAATGATTTCTGAAGGATCACGTGAATCAGCTTTACCGTCACAGACATAAATGACATTTTAAAATATATTCAAATAAAAAAACAACTATTTTAAATTGTAACATTTCACAATAATATTGTTTTTACTGTATTTTTGATTAAATAAATGCAGCCTTGGTGAGCATAAGAGATTTCTTTCCAAAATCTTTGAACAATGGTGCAAATATACGTATATATAAATATAAGTGTACAATGAAAAGCACAGTCACACTTTATTTTAAGGTCCAATTCTCACTATTAACAAACCATTAACTATGACTTTTGCCTCAAACTCCTAATTTGCTGCTTATTAATAGTTAGTAAGGTAGTTGTTAAGTTTAGGTATTGGGTAGGATTAGGGATGTAGAATATGGTCATGCAGAATATGTGCTTTATAAGTACAAATTAACAGCCAATATGTTAATAATATTTTATATATTTTGTGAATTAACTATGACTGCACATCTTTAAACCTCTGGGGTTGAATTTTGCATGTTATACAACCCATCTCACCATCATGCTCACGACAGGTGCTTTAGGTCTGTGATTTCAGGTGTGGCAGTAATTAGCCTCACATGCAGTTAAACACACGTCTAGAAATGTGAACCACCTGAGGCTCACTATTATTCTTATGCACTGTGGCACAATTAAATCTTAACAGAAACTCAGTGCTGGGAAATGACAGGACTACAGCTGGTAAGGTGAGAATGTATGCTCTCAATATCTTGCAGAGATTACTGAGCTGTCAAGAAAACACTTTTGTCTATTATCAGACTGCCATAACAGGGCAGGGATGCTTCACATTAATTAGACTGATCACGGTGGAGTGGCACATGACTTTGGTTGCCGGTTTAATGAACTTGGTTGTGTTTATGTATATATGGCCTCTCCCTGCCCTTGGATTTGGTCTGTATACATCATGTATATTTAAAAACAACAAAACAAAGAGAGAAAGAGAAAGTGAGAGAGTGACAGAGAGTAAATATTGTGCAGAATATTTTGTACATATATATCTTTTATGTGTACACTGCATACAAGTAATGCCTGTAACCATAACAGGTCTGCTTGCATGAATACAGCCTAATTGTGCAATATGTTTGCTACTGCCCATTTGTCTCGGGTCATTTTTCTAGATAAATAGAATTGACGCTAAATTTGCAACAGCAGCAAGACAATGCTTTTCTTCTGAGATTTGTTATGGCCAACTTGTTAGATAGGCAGGCATAATATTTCAGGGTCACATTGTTTTCTCGGCCTTCTGTGGCTGTGACCCTTTGCTGACTCATCCCTCTCATTTTTCCTGACTGGACTTCCAGTGTCTCAGCATTCAGAGGAACGACCATCACATGATAAGCAACCGGCAACAAAACTGGCATTGTACCCCCGACCCCACCGGTCTCTTTATTTCTCTCCTACTTCCTCCTCCTCCCTTTCTCTTATTCCCCTCTTCAACTTTCTCACCCTCCCTCCAAAGGCCTCGAGGGTGTCAGCGGATCACAGAGGCTTTTGTTTCCATCCTCCTCTCTTTTGTTTCTCCTCTCTCTGTCCGCCCCTCTGAGCGATTTATGTGAAGGCTGGAAGCAGCTCAGCGCCGTTGGGCTGATGGATTGAGTCATGACTGAGAGACAGACAGCTGTAAATGACGATACGCGAGCCCTGAGCAGAATACGCTCATCTCCAAGGGTGTAATTATGATGTGAGTAAGAGTTTTGAGAAGTAACCGCTCTAAAACGCCTCTGTCCACGTTTCACTTGTATGTTTAGAGTCGGCCGCAGATGGATACGTGGTACCTAGGATGAACAGCCCTTTGGTAGAAAATCCTGACTCAAACCTGCACTACAAATATAAAGTTCCTGACAAATATCACACAAATTAACTCAGGTATACTGTAAAAATTTTTTATATATATATGTGTGTGTGTGTGTGTGTGTGTGTGTGTGACCCTGGACCACAAAACCAGTCATAAGGGTCAATTCTTTGAAATTGAGATTTATACATCATCTGAATAAATAAGTTTTCCATTGATGCATGGTTTGTTAGGATGGGACGGACTTTGGCCGAGATACAACTATTTGAAAATCTGGAATCTGAGGGTGCAAAAAAAACAAAATATTGAGAAAATCACCTTTAAAGTTGTCCAAATGAAGTTCTTAGCAATGCATATTACTAATCAAAAATTAAGTTGTGATATATTTACGGTAGGAAATTTACAAAAAATCTTCATGGAACATGATCTTTACTTAATATCCTAATGATTTATGGCACAGCGACTTAAGACTGGTTTTGTGCTCCAGGGTCACATACATACATACATATATATATGTATGTATTTTTTTTTCAGAAAAAAAGACTATAAAAAAGGATACAGTAAAAATCTGGTAATTGGTTAACCGTAAAAATTACCTTACCGTGTTACTATTACATGTAATTTTACTGTAAAATAATGTCAGATGTAGATTTTAAAAGTAAAAACTACAACCATAGAAACAGAATTCCTTGCATGATACACAACATATAATTTTACTTTATTTATTTAATTTAATTGTTCAAATAAATGATTTAAATAATTAAATATATGCATTTACTTAATTTTGCTTCTTTTTATTTTTATCATCAGTAACGTCTACACATTTATTTGCTTTTTATGCAAGTTAATGTTTGTTGTATTATTTTAGCCGTATACTGTATATAATCAATATTTAGAATTTGTCTTAATAGCTTAATTTCAATCAGAGGAACAATCACTTGGACCAAATTGTAGTAAAGTATTCAAAATGTTTAAAGCAGGAAGTAAAATCAATGTAGATGTGAAAGATAATGCTAATGAATCATTGAATCAGAATTCTGGATTGATTCAAACAGACAAGTTGAACTGATCCATGAAATTAGTTGAAATCTAATACTGTTTTTGCAACTGGAGTTTAAACTTAACTTTACATTTTTAAGTTTTAATGCTCACATACTCATGAGTCACAACACAAAAATGATATGCAAATTAATATACCTACAATGACATGACTGATATACCAGTAATGACAATGGCTTGATACAAGTGCATTAAAACTCTTAATTGCTTAATTTTCTCATTGTGTTGCTTAATATTATATTGACAGCAAATCATCAAACATATCTGCCCACCCAAGTACACGGGACAACTTCTGATTTCTCGCTTTCTCCCAAACACATTTACACACACCTTTTCTCAACAACCCCTCCACAAATGCATAAGCCAAAAATACTTTCCATATCACAGCAAAGCACGGTATCAAACACAAACACACAAGCAGGCCTAACAAGCCCACATACTGTAAGTGTTAGTAAATTCATGTGAAGGTTATGACTCATTTGGCACTGCATCATCTCCGTCTGACAGTATTTGTGAAATGACCATCTGCAGGAACAAAGTGGTACATTGACTCTTATATAATGCACATAGTTTGCGCCTCAAACACAACCCAGGGCAAATACAAATTGCAAAATCAGACAACCGCATGACTTTCATTCAGATATGCAAACAACATCACTACCTCTCAGGTAACACTGGCAATCGTTCTTACTTTTTCTTTGTACTTTAATGACAGCAGAACTCAAGCAGTTGGAGCTCTATAATAAGTTGGTGTAAAACCTGCTGATCATGTTCTCCAGCACAATTTGAGAATAATCCATACAGCATCTTGAGCTTCAATAGAAAAGAGAACATCTGACCATCTGTAAATAGTTCACCTATCACAAATTTGTTTAATTAGTAACCTAGAAATAGTACAGTATCTTAAATACTTCATATTAACTTCACACCAAAATCCTAAAACACTGTTCATTTCCAGATTTAGAAATCAGAATCCCTGTTTTCCAGACTTCTGGATCTTACTGTACAAGCCATGCATCACAAGAATCAATCAAAGCCGTAAACACCACTGCATCACTTAAGACTCCACCGATTCACTCACATGTGGTAGATCTGCCTCTGTGTGACGAATGCATTATCCACAAAGTACGGTAGCATTTTCAGCACAACTTCCTGACAGGAGTCCACGACCAGATGCATCCTGCTGCTGGCTGCAGGGAAATCTCCCTCGCCCCGGTCCGCAGCAGCACGCTTCGCTCAGATCTCCAGCTGCTTACGACAGAGGGAGAAAAACAGCACGCAGAGGGGAGGAGGAGCACGTCTGCAGCCCCTTCCTCGGTCTGATGCTCTCTGAGAGCTGAGAGTGTGTGAGCCAGTTTCTACTGACGCACACCCGCCCTCTCTCTCTCTCTCTCTCTCTGTGTGTCAGTAAATAGAGAGAGGAGGAAAAACCTGTTCCCTTGTCTTTGCAGGAAGGGATGAGGCACTCTGTGTGTGCGCATGAGATCTCTCCACTGAAATTAGAGCACTCCAAACAACTCTGACACTGCAAGAAGCCCAGCAGGCCACAGAGATCCTGGTGTGTCTCTTGGAGAAATAAAACGGCTTCACTCCGACAAATCTGACAGCAATGATAAAGAAAAATGGAGAGAAAAGCATAAAAGATCCCACTTGTTCCTAAAGACAATCAGTCAAACAAAAAGAAAAAAACAAAGAAATGTGTTGACCTTCTTAGCTGGGACTCCTCATTGCTTGCTACACCCTAAAATGATCTGTCCCAGAATCCTCACATGGGCTAAGCATGGGCAACAGTGCCTGCTGCTGTCGGACGAAGCAGGGAAGCCTCTTTAAAATCTCAATAGGAGAAGAGACGGGGGATGTGTCCTAAGTAGACTGCAGTAAGTGCAGAGACTGGCTGACTGTCTGTACTCCACTAGGACTTCTAGACTGAGAAGGACAGAGTACT